TTATATTTTTCCTTATATGCACATAAAATTACCTTCATAACCATTCTTAAGTGTACAGTTTAGTGTTATTAAATATAGTGTTGTGCAACCATCACCACCATCCATCCCCATAACTCTTTTCATGTTGTAAAACTGAAACTCTGTATCAATTAAACAACTACTCCTCATTTCCCCCCACTCCCCAGCCCCTGATAACCATCCACCATTCTACTTTCTGTTCTATGATTTTGACTACTCTAAGTACCTCATGTAAGTGAAACCACACAGTATTTGTCATTTTTATGACTGGTTTGTTTTACTAAGCATAACATTCTCCAGGTTCATCCATGTCGTAGCATATTGCAGAATTTCCTTCCTTTTTAAGACAGAAGAATATTCCACTGTATGTATATACCACATTTTCCTTAGCCATTCTACTGTCAATGGACACTTGGGTTGCTTTCACATTTTAGCTATTGTGAATAATGCTGCTAAAACAGGTGTACAAATATTTGAGACCCTGCTTTCAGTTCTCTTGGATATATACCCAGAAATGGAACTGCAAAATTATGTGGTAATTCTATTTTTAATATTATAAGAAAATGCCACACTGTTTTCTTCTACTTTATGTTCTCATCAACATTTTGCACAAGGGTACCAATTTTTCTACATCCTCGGTAACGCTTTTGTTTTGTTTTGATAGTAGCCATCCTAATGGGCATGAAGTGGTATATCACTGTAGTTGATTTGCATTTCACTAATAATTAGTGATGTTGAGCATCTTTTCATGTGCTTATTGGTCACTTGTATATCTTTAGAGAAATATCTATTCAAGCCTTTTGCACATTTTTGATTTGGGTTGTTTGTTTTTTAGTTGTTGAGTTTTAGGAGTTCTCTGTATATTTTTGGATATAAATCACTTATTACATATGTAAATATCTTATATGCAATATTAGATATACAAAAGATTAGATATGTAAATATGATTAGAAAGTACTTTTTCCCATTCTGTGGGTATACTCTGTTGATATTTTTCAATAGCTTGTTTTTGTTTTAAAGTTAACTAATTTAAAGTTTTATTTATAAATATTTTTCAATTTCTTCCATTGCATTTCTTCTATATATTACATAATAACATAGAAATATGTCTACCTTCTATTTTGGAATATAAGTTAACATCTATTCTTAAGTGATTACGTCAAGGAGAAAAAAGTACTGAAAGACCCATATAAATCACAAGACAGCTCTATACCAGCATACCAAAATTAAAAATAAAATCGCCGATGGGTTCAAGAGCAGGGTCATCTTTCTTATTGATTATGCCAGTAGTATTTTCTTTTAATTCTGGTGCCCCTTTGAGAGGTCCTGGAGTAAAAAGATCCAATTGAATTTCTATTGTTTTGCTTCCTATACCCATGGAGTCCCTGAGGTAATACAAAGGAAAGAGCCAGATCTGTCAGCATCCACGATAGATCCTTCAAAAAAGAGAGCCCAGCAGAACTTTCTTTTCTACTCTTCAAGTAAATGATCACTTGCCCAGGTTCTAAAAGGCCAGCTGGCAATGCAGAATTCTTAGCAGATTTCTGCATCTGTCTAACATCATTCCTTTCCTCGAAATGCTTTCATGGCTTTCTGATGATCTGGATCTTTGCTGTCTCTCTGGTCTCCATCCACTCTCCACAGAGCTCACCAAGCTCTAACCTCGCTGACCTTTCCCCTCTTCCTTGAACATACAGAGTTCTTTTTGTCTCAGGGCCTTTGCACTTGTTTTCTCACTCATCCCCATCTCTCACACCAAGTTTGCTCACTTCTACTTGTCTTACCCAGAACAAAAGTTTCATAATTACATGATATGGCTATTTGTATGATTATGTGCTTAATTTCCTCCACAGTCAATAAGCACCATGTCTGCTTTATTTCCTCTGTATGCATGGGGCCTACCATAGTTCTTGGCACAGAGTAAAAGTCTGTCAGATGCTGACAGATCTGGCTCTTACCTTTGTATTACCTCAGGGACTCCATGGGTATAGGGAGCAAACATATTTCTATGTTATTATCCTTACCTGTTCAATTTCCTTTTCCTCCCAAGAAAAATGCACGACCAAAAGATGTCTAAGTGAAAAAACTCTTAAACATGCTCTCTTACTGGCATTAGAATGTGATCACTGTCATTTACTAAAATAAGTACATATACACCTCACATATATCTAACAAGGAAAAATTATAAGGGATTATTCTCTATAATTCCACATTATGGGCTGCTTACCTTAGGTCTCAAAACACATTTGGAAGTTCCTCCAAAGAATTATTGATAATTCTATAAAATACTCATCTTAAAGAAATTGTTTTGAAAGAAATTTAACTATTTTTTTGTCAAGTATTTCAACTTAAGAACCATGATCAGCTTGTACAAAATAAGTCTGCTTAATTGGAAAAATAAAGTCAAAATAAAAAAACAGAATCTTTCATTCAAGAATCAGAATATTTAAGCTGACAGAGCTAGTCTTAGAATCAGAAAAAAATAAATGCAAGAACAACAGAAAAGAGTAGAAACTGTTTCTAAAACAAATAGTATCTTAAGAATATACACTAAGAAACATACTTCTGTAAGACCATATTTCTAAAAGGGCACAACCAATGGGTTTACTCAGGAAACTTTTAAGGTCTACAGTTTTAAGGTTATTAGTTTATAGAACTTATCAGTTTTTTTGACTTGGAGATTTATGGATTTATTTACTGTGATGATGGTAGACATCAGAGTCACAAGAGAGGAAGAACATGAAGTGGTATATCACTGTAGTTGATTTGCATTTCACTAATAATTAGTGATGTTGAGCATCTTTTCATGTGCTTATTGGTCACTTGTATATCTTTAGAGAAATATCTATTCAAGCCTTTTGCACATTTTTGATTTGGGTTGTTTGTTTTTTAGTTGTTGAGTTTTAGGAGTTCTCTGTATATTTTTGGATATAAATCACTTATTACATATGTAAATATCTTATATGCAATATTAGATATACAAAAGATTAGATATGTAAATATGATTAGAAAGTACTTTTTCCCATTCTGTGGGTATACTCTGTTGATATTTTTCAATAGCTTGTTTTTGTTTTAAAGTTAACTAATTTAAAGTTTTATTTATAAATATTTTTCAATTTCTTCCATTGCATTTCTTCTATATATTACATAATAACATAGAAATATGTCTACCTTCTATTTTGGAATATAAATTAACATCTATTCTTAAGTGATTACGTCAAGGAGAAAAAAGTACTGAAAGACCCATATAAATCACAAGACAGCTCTATACCAGCATACCAAAATTAAAAATAAAATCGCCGATGGGTTCAAGAGCAGGGTCATCTTTCTTATTGATTATGCCAGTAGTATTTTCTTTTAATTCTGGTGCCCCTTTGAGAGGTCCTGGAGTAAAAAGATCCAATTGAATTTCTATTGTTTTGCTTCCTATACCCATGGAGTCCCTGAGGTAATACAAAGGAAAGAGCCAGATCTGTCAGCATCCACGATAGATCCTTCAAAAAAGAGAGCCCAGCAGAACTTTCTTTTCTACTCTTCAAGTAAATGATCACTTGCCCAGGTTCTAAAAGGCCAGCTGGCAATGCAGAATTCTTAGCAGATTTCTGCATCTGTCTAACATCATTCCTTTCCTCGAAATGCTTTCATGGCTTTCTGATGATCTGGATCTTTGCTGTCTCTCTGGTCTCCATCCACTCTCCACAGAGCTCACCAAGCTCTAACCTCGCTGACCTTTCCCCTCTTCCTTGAACATACAGAGTTCTTTTTGTCTCAGGGCCTTTGCACTTGTTTTCTCACTCATCCCCATCTCTCACACCAAGTTTGCTCACTTCTACTTGTCTTACCCAGAACAAAAGTTTCATAATTACATGATATGGCTATTTGTATGATTATGTGCTTAATTTCCTCCACAGTCAATAAGCACCATGTCTGCTTTATTTCCTCTGTATGCATGGGGCCTACCATAGTTCTTGGCACAGAGTAAAAGTCTGTCAGATGCTGACAGATCTGGCTCTTACCTTTGTATTACCTCAGGGACTCCATGGGTATAGGGAGCAAACATATTTCTATGTTATTATCCTTACCTGTTCAATTTCCTTTTCCTCCCAAGAAAAATGCACGACCAAAAGATGTCTAAGTGAAAAAACTCTTAAACATGCTCTCTTACTGGCATTAGAATGTGATCACTGTCATTTACTAAAATAAGTACATATACACCTCACATATATCTAACAAGGAAAAATTATAAGGGATTATTCTCTATAATTCCACATTATGGGCTGCTTACCTTAGGTCTCAAAACACATTTGGAAGTTCCTCCAAAGAATTATTGATAATTCTATAAAATACTCATCTTAAAGAAATTGTTTTGAAAGAAATTTAACTATTTTTTTGTCAAGTATTTCAACTTAAGAACCATGATCAGCTTGTACAAAATAAGTCTGCTTAATTGGAAAAATAAAGTCAAAATAAAAAAACAGAATCTTTCATTCAAGAATCAGAATATTTAAGCTGACAGAGCTAGTCTTAGAATCAGAAAAAAATTAATGCAAGAACAACAGAAAAGAGTAGAAACTGTTTCTAAAACAAATAGTATCTTAAGAATATACACTAAGAAACATACTTCTGTAAGACCATATTTCTAAAAGGGCACAACCAATGGGTTTACTCAGGAAACTTTTAAGGTCTACAGTTTTAAGGTTATTAGTTTATAGAACTTATCAGTTTTTTTGACTTGGAGATTTATGGATTTATTTACTGTGATGATGGTAGACATCAGAGTCACAAGAGAGGAAGAGGAAGAAATAGGCACAAATCCAGCTTGCATAGTCCTCTGTTATCTTTTTAAGTAAGAGAACTATTGAATGCTAGGTTTGGTCCCATATTTCAGTTCTAAGAAGGTAACTAAAATATCTGGATGCTCAGTAACCCGAGTGGGCTTCCCTATGAATGACAAAGCCTGTGAAGGGTACCGTGAAACCTACCTTCTTGGGTACAACAGAGGAACTGGAATTTACTGTGCTTTCATCATCATGCATCATGACAAGGTCAGAGCTGCTCTCATCCATGACTTCCTGCATGCTGTTCACACTGCTGCTCTGGCTGCCTGTACTCACAGACATGCTGGGGATGGAATGGTTGCTGCCCAGGCTGTCCATTTCCCTGCTCAGGCTGGTTCCATGTTCACTGTCCTATGAAAACAGGGCACTGGGGTTAAAAGAAATGACTGGAGATAAAGTGCCAATCCATTGACTAAGCTATTAAGCACACTTAATTTTGCAGTGCCAAGTTGCTTTTCTGCCAAATCTGCAAAGATAAACTTTTCATGCAGTGACTCCACTACACCCGCACCATTTTCAGACATCACAAATTCACTTCTACGTCTTCCTCAGGGGCCATTCTGGACATGAGTCATAAGGTTCCAAATGCTGCTATCCTAGGGCTTTCCTCATCATATGCAACTATCATATCATCGTATTGCTTAAAACAGAATCAGGCCAGGTTTGTAAGAGGCCTTGAGGAGCATCAAGTTGGTAGGTAAAGATTGCAGGCAACTGAACAGGTGACCTCTAGGATATCTGCAAATATGGCAGTGGTCACTTGAAACTAAAATGGAGTGAAAAGAGTTTTCAGAGATTTGACAAGCAATATGCTCCTTTGCAAATCATTATTGAGTAACTTCATATCGAAGCAAGGATATTAATTCTACTGTCCTGGACAGGTAATTAAATTCTGCCTCCCTCCAGAAATTTTATCAAGCTTACTTCTTAGTCTTATTAAATATATCTGTTAAATAATACTAGTATTTGTCACTACTAGTCCAAAGATTACTATTTAAGAAGTCGTAAAATAATCAGAACATATAATTTATGCATCACAGTGAGATCTTTTGATATAAATTAAATAATATAATTAAAGCACTTGGCTCACATAAACTCTATTTTTCAAAGAACCATACTGTACATATACAACTCAATGTACTGCTACTTAGCCATGGCAATATCAGGAGTCACTGGCATAGGTAGCTTGGGTAATGTAAAATGGTAGATATTACATTATGTTTTTAATATTTATTTTTCAAATTAAAGGGGATCATATGTATATATACAATCACGACACTTTATAATCCAACTCAGTTTTCTGAATTTCATTTTTATAGTTACTGACAAAATCATTTTGTTTCACTTTCTTTTATATTCAAAAGGTAAAAGAAAGTGAATTCTTTACTGCCTTCCTCTTTGTTCTCTGGTTTTTGAGGAACAGGAGCCCTTTCTTTTGCTCTAATGCTCTGGCTCCTGTTATGCACCTACTGACATTCTACTTCTGTACCTACATCCTCTGTCTCCAATGCCTCCTCCCTGGTGGCTTCCCTCTGTGTGTACACATGAAGAGGCCTCTTCCGTATTCATGTACCATCCTACATATCGCCCTTTGTCACTTTTGCTTCTTAGCTAAACTTATGAATCTTAAAATAACCAACTTTTGTTGTCTTTACTTTCTCACTTCCCATTTACCCTTCATCCCACAGGAATGTAGTAATCATCCTAACTATTCCTGTAAAACTGCTTTTACAAAGGTAATCAAGAATGCCCTATTTGTAAAATCCAGTTAACATTTCTCTTTTGGTCTTTGTCTGACTTGACTGTCTCTGTGGCATCTGATGGTATTAACTGGCTCTCTTCTTGAAGTTGCGCACTCAACATCTGTGATGACTTTATCTCCTAGGCCTTCCTTTTATTATATGGTATGGCCCTCTTCTCATTCTACATTCAACTTCTTGATTCATTATCATTTCAAGGCTCTTGACTCCCAACCAACCACCCTGTACCCAGACCTCTTTCCTATGTTCTGGGTTTGTATTTCCCAACCAACGGCTAGCCATCAGCATTCAAGTGTCCCAATTGTCATTACTCTTGCCTCAACCAACCCTTCTTAAGTTATTTGAATGAGAAACCAGGAAGTCATCTTTCCTTTGAAGACTCTGCCTCTACTATCTCAGTAGCATATGATGGCAGGACCTTAAACTCAATAGGCACCAAACTGAAATCATCCCACACTTACTCTTTCTCCTTGTTTCTTTTTTTCTCTTTTCTTGGTATTGACATAATCTAGTTACCCAGGCGCCAATGCTCGGTCACCTTAAACCCCTCCTTGTCTGTCACCTTCCATGAGAAGCACTGTATTATCAAATCTGCCTCTATAGTGATTCTCAGAAGTATTCCTCCTTCCCCCACTCCCACTGACATTGCCCTTATTACCTCTTGCACGGACATTATCCAGAATGTCACACATTCAAATCCACCTTACACTCTGTTGCCAGGATAATCTTTCAAAAGCACAGAACTTACCCCAGTCTAAAACACCCTCCGCCTGTCTGTCAAAACCCACCCACATTACGTCCTCCAAACAAATTTCACTAATTCTCACTTATTTTCTCCCCACTATGGACCCCTGCATGTGCTACATTCTATAGCATTTTTAATATTTTTGCCTTATTGTAACAGTTATTTTATGAATGTCTCTTCTACAACTCTGTATGTCTCTTAAGGAAGACAGCATCGATTACATCGTTATCCCCAACAGTGTTCTTCATCGTGCCCAGTCCAGAACTTTCTCACAGAGTAAGCACTCTAACTCTACAAGTGTCTGCTGAAATAAAGAAAACCTACTTCTTCTTCCTCCTGTGACTCATTAAGGGGTCCATTTCGTGTCTCTTGGAAAAGGATTTTTTTCATTCTTCGGTACTGTAGGTTATCTAGCTCACGAACAGCGTCTTTTGTCCTCTGTATGAGGTCGATTAGGACACGTAGTGGCCGGTCTCGGCGAATGAAGTCATGCTGATTGAGGGAGGAGGAAAAACAGAAATCAATTATGAGGAAACCATATTTTTAGGTATAAGATTAGAGATAAAAGTAAATAGACATAAAATGGTTCTATGGATTTTGCAGAAATAACCAGATTTGATTTTCATTTCATGTAGCCTCTCATCTTGGATAAATCTTATAGGGAGATAACTATGCTTTTCTCTTCTTCCTCAAGCCCCATTTTGTGGATGTTATCCTAGAATTTACTTTATCATATGGGTAGAATCAATGACTGGAACCTTCAATAGAGCTGAGAGACTTTTAACTTTCAAATCTGAAACTAATAAGCAAAAGTCATGGAGACTATAGAATATTCTTGTTATAATCTGCCTCAATCCTCTTCCCCACCCTACACTACCCTTTTAAAAAGAGACTTGTGTATATTTCATTTTCTGTTTCTGTGGTCCTATGTTGTGTATGCTTGAAATTATGGCAGCTTAAATGTATCCAGAGATCAGAATTCTGGCAACTTCATCTTTCCTTTACAGAGCTGTATAACCAGAAATAAGAAAAAAGGGCCTCTAAGGAATGAAAACAGATACCCCAAAGTCCATAAGCTTTCCTTGGTATAAATGTTCTTCACTTTAAATTTTATCAATGATCTTTAACACATATTCTGTTCTCCTGGTTTCTCGGCCTATAGAAGTTTAGAAAGAGAGAATGAAAGTGGGAGAATAAAGGGTTGAGAACTGTTAAAGGTAGGGTTATTTGTTGTAAAAAGAACTGTCCTTTGAGAGGTCTCTGACAGCCTGACAGTAGACAAAGAAATTCCATAACTAAGACACCTATCAACCAACTGAGGGAAAATGAACAAAGGTTTGTGGGCTATTTTGCAAAGGGGCAAAAACCTCTCATAGAGTCCTTTTATACTCCAAGAGTTCATCAAACACTACTGTCTCTGAGTCACTAAGAAGTGAAATTATGTTCATTGTGCTTTAAGAAGGCAGAGCAGCATATCATATATTTTGACAAGATTGCACAGAAACTGTTCAAAAGTAGGAGGAAAAATCTTTGTTTTTTTAAAGAAAGGGTTCAGTTACTTAGAAAATTCACTTATATGAAATTTTAATTTGGAGATATTGGGAAAATGAGATACAATGTGGTAGGCCCTAGATTATGGAATGAATTTAATTTCTTTATAAGTTACACAGATATAAAAGAGGAGCAGGACCATTGTGAGAAAAAAATCTACTTGTCTTGTGTTTCTTTACCCTGACTTTGCTATCAGGGGTATTGTGGCTTTTGCTCCTGCTTTTATAAAATAACTCTTCCTTTGCAAAGAGTCCTTTCTGAAAAAGAAACAACACTCCTAGAAGCAAGTGTCACCTGCATATTTCAAGATAAGAACAAAAGGGAGAAAGTAACTTATTTTGCTACTCCAATGCTTGTAATTCTATAAGAGCAAATCTTATATTTGTTTAAGTTTTTAGTAAGCTTCAAGCTACTTTGCTATCAGGGGTATTGTGGCTTTTGCTCCTGCTTTTATAAAATAACTCTTCCTTTGCAAAGAGTCCTTTCTGAAAAAGAAACACCACTCCTAGAAGCAAGTGTCACCTGCATATTTCAAGATAAGAACAAAAGGGAGAAAGTAACTTATTTTGCTACTCCAATGCTTGTAATTCTATAAGAGCAAATCTTATATTTGTTTAAGTTTTTAGTAAGCTTCAAGCTATAATTTAGGATCACCAAATTTTACAGCAGGAATAGCTCTTAAAAATTCCTTTACTTCCAAGATGAGGCAACTTAAGCTCAGAGAGGTTAAGTGGTTTACACAGCTAAATAGTGGAAGAGTTAGGTCTGCAACCCAGGTGTCTTTATATTTGGGTTTGTTTTCTGGTGGCATACCACTATTATCTTTTCTAAATTAAAATTTAGAAATTTGAAGTATAGTTGATATATAATATCATATTGGTTTTAAGTATACAACATAGTGGTGTGTGCTATTTCCTTTCTAAAACGTAGATTTGATCATGTCATTCATTGTGATAGATACTGTGTTGCATTTATCCCCCATTCTGACCTCTTTTCCTTGCCTTCCTTTATTGTATGCACTAGAATGTAAAAGAGTGGAACTCCAGCCTTCTTTGCAGTTACAGATAACAATGTGGCCAAATTCTGGCCAGTGAGATACAGGCAGAAATCCCTTAGGAAAGCTTTGTGTTCTAAAATAAAAAGGTATGGCACATGAAGAAAAGGCACTTTGCACTTTGTTCTTCCTTCTTTTTCCTGCCTGGAATAAAGACTTGAGTGCTGGAGATGCAGGAGCAATTTTGTGATCAAGAAGATAAAAGCCACATGCTAAGGACAATAAACTAGGAAAAAAGAAGGAACATAGATCAGTGGTATTGTTGAGCTACGTATAGCTCTGGATTGCTTATAATACCTTCTTCCCTCTTTTCCCAGTGTCCTGGACTTCTTATCACCTGAGATAATTAAACCCGTATCTGTTTAAACCCTTTAAAAATGGATGCACTCAACATCTTAAAAACATGCCTCCATGATGAAGTTTGCCCTTTTACAGCTAGGTTCATGCTTGTATTTCTAGGTACAAATCTAGCCACTCCTACTCCTCCTTCCCATCTAGAAGAATGCACAGTACATTCTAGATAATCTTGCCTCGTGTCATTCTTCCTTTCACACCTGCATGCCTTTGTCATGGTGCTTTCTTTGCCTACAATCCCATCTCTTCACTGTTCTCCACACTCCTACAATTAAAAGCTTCTCAGACCCTTTTGAAAGAATGATTTTACTATTCTTGGAAATAGAGAAAAGAAGCACTGAAGAAAGTAAACCATCCAAAAGTCTATCATACAGAAATAAAAATTGTTAAATTATGGAATATCATTTGAGACATTCTCTCTCTCGGGATGATGGTTATCTTGAAATAACTTCACATGGGAAGATTATTGCACATGTTAATTTAAAAAGTAATCTATTAAATTAAGTTATACTGGAATATAACAATTAGAAGAGACTGAAGTAAAATCATTGCTTAACTTTATTTTAATTTCTCCACCAAGAGATACCAGTTCTTAAAAGGTCCTCTAAAGTTAAGACGAAAAAAACATTATGAAAAGCTTTGAGACTAGAGTTATTTTATTTAAACTATGAATTTCAATTTTTTTTAATTTTAAATATTCTATATTGAATTTTTCTTATTAAGAAGGTATCACTGATATACACTCTTATGAAGGTTTCACAAGAAAAACTATGTGGTTATTACATTCACCCTTATTATCAAGTCCTTCCCCCTACCCCATTGCAGTCACTGTCCATCAGTGTAGTAAGATGCCAGAGTCCCTATTTGTCTTCTCTGAGCTACACTGTCTTCCCCGTGACCCCACACACACCATGTACACCAATCATGATACCCCACAATCCCCTTCTCCCCCCCCCACCCTCCCCCACCTCTACCCTTTGGTAACCACTAGTCCCTTCTTGGAGTCTGTAAGTCTGCTGCTATTTTGTTCCTTCAGTTTTGCTTCATTGTTTTACTCCACAAATGAGGGAAATCATTTGGTATTTGTCTTTCTCCGCCTGACTTATTTCACTGAGTGTAGTACCCTCTAGCTCCATTCATGTTGTTTATTTTTTATGGCTGAATAGTATTCCATTGTGTATATGTACTACATCTTCTTTATCCATTCATGTGCTGATGGACACTTAGGTTGCTTCCATATCTTGGCTATTGTAAATAGTGCTGCAATAAACATAGGGGTGCATATGTCTTTATGAATCTGAGAAGTTGTTTTCTTTGGGTAAATTCCTAGGAGTGGAATTCCCGGGTAAAATGGTATTTCACTTTTTAGTTTTTTGAGGAACCTCCATATTGCTTTCCACAATGGTTAAACTACCTTACATTCCCACCAGCAATGTAGGAGGGTTCCCCTTTCTCCACATCCTCACCAGCATTTGTTGTTCCTAGTCTTTTCTATGTTGGTCATCCTAACTGGTGTGAGGAGATATCTCACTGTGGTTTTAACTAGCCATGTGGAGCATCTTTAACTATGAATTTCAATTTAGGAACTTTATTGTCCATCTAGTCTGAAAAATTGTAAAATTACATTTCTTTCCTACCCCTGGTTTTATTGGTTACACTATTAATTTTACATTGCCAATGTTTATAACATTTAAATTCTGCTCTTATATCAAAGATTTTACCTTAGTTCTATATTTAAATGGATTCCATGCAAAGGTGACACTTTAATGTCAGGAACAAAATGTGAGGAAAAGATTGATTATTTAAAAATACTTGGAAGTAATTAGATAGCCAACTGGGTGGAAAGAAAAGTTGAATTCTTCATAACAAATTTCTGCATTACCTCCCAAAAAAGGCTCAGCATAAGTAATGTTTTCTCAAGAGAGAAACAGGAAAAAATATCTGTAATATCTATTACAAATAAGGAAAAGAATCCCAGCAATCCAATAAACACATGGGCAAAGATCATAAAGAGTTTGCAAAAGGAAATAGAAATGGCTTTTCAATACAAGAAAGATGTCCAACCTAACTCTTAATGAGAATACAAATTAAAACTACAGTAAGAAAAGTTTTTCACTGATCTGATTAGCAAAATTCAAAAAAATTTGGTACTCACACTCTGTTAATGGGTATATAAACTGGTGTAACCACTCTGGGGAATAATTTGTCAATATCTATTTAAGTTTAAAATCAAATACCCTATGCAATTCTTCTTCTAGGAATTTACTCTTTAGATATTCATATTCAGGTACAAAATGACATGCAGATATCCTTTGCAGCACAGTTTGTATAGCAAAAGATTGCAAAAGCCAAAAATTAGTTGGTTAAAAAAACTAGTCATTCTGAGAATATTACGGAACTTTAAAAAGAATGAGTTCTATATATAATAATACAGAAAATACCCAAAACACACTGTAAAGTGTAAAAACTTTTTAAATAAACCAAGTTAGAATTTCTGTAGTTTGCTGCCATTTAAGTAAAAATGAAAAAAGAATATTTACTTCCAAAAAGAACATTTACTTGCATAAAATATCTCTAGAAGGACACATACAAAATTGGTGACATGGCTGCTAACTCTAGAGAGAGGGAGCCTGGAATTGGAAGATTCACTTTTCACACTCTACCTTCAGAAATTTGTATTACCTGTTCAAAATGAAGATGTAGTCTCTTTATCTGTGTGAAATAAATAGGTGAAAACTTTTTTTGCCGATTCAAAGCCAATGTTCATCATCAGTCCTTCTACTAGTTTCTGTGGTCCCTAATTAATTCTCCTTCTTCCTTCCCTTCTTCTCTCTTTTTCTTTCTCGCTTCATCTCTATATTGGCTTGATTTTTGCTATTGAGCGATTTTTTTAAAAAAGAAAAAGCTTTTAAGAAAAGAAAATGGTCTAAATTTTTGAGACTTGAAAATATCAGCTGTCTTTATAACTGAAGAGTATCTAAGCTAAGCCACAAATCCTTGGTTTACATTTTCTTTCCCTTAGAATTTTGCAAACATTTTTCTATTGTTCTCTAGCTCTGAGTGTTCTTCAAGTTCGAACCAACTGGTTTTTCTACCCCAAAATAATTTTTTTTACCTCTTTGTATGAATCTTTCTTTATCCCTGGAATTCAGGAACTTCATCAGGATATGATTTGTTTATCACTGAAGATCATGGTATCTTCAGGGCTCTGCTCAAATGTCATCTACCCACAAAGGCCTTCCCTAACTCCTTATCTAGAACAGTGTCTCCTGTCACTCTTTATCCCTGTTCTTGCTTTTTTTTCTGCAGAGAATTTACCATCATCTCATATATTTATTTGTATGTTTTCTTACCCCTTCATTAGGATGTAAGTTCCATGAGGGCGAGAACTATCTTTCTCTTGTGTGCTACTGTATTATTTTCAGTGCTTAGAATAGTGCTTGGCACACAACAGACAATCGGTAAATATTTCTTGAATACATGGTGGGCTCATTTGATTTCATCCTTCAAATCAAATAAAGACTAAATCAAATTAAATAAAGATCCAAACATTTATTTATGAAAATCATATCCAAAAAAGTTTTCTTCAGCTATACCTTTACATATCTTCTGCTCCATTTATTTTGCTTTTTTCTTCAGGAATAATAGGTTGGCATATATTAGATCTCCTTTGTCTTCCACATGTGTCATCTTTATAGACATCTTCAGAATTTTTTCTTTGGCAGTTAATTTTGTTTTATTTTCCTAAGACTATCTACCATTGGAAACAACCTGAATGGGTTGGTTTATTATGTATGTTTGTTGCTTATTATTTTAATCTGTTGTGCTTTGATTTTTCTCTTTCACTTCTTTCTTTACCTCTGCCCACCTGATTTTTATATCCTTTTGTTGTTGGTTGCCCTATAACTCATCTTTGAATCCTTGTAGTTACCTTCTTTGGTCTTTTTTTTCCCCCCTGATTTTTAATACAGCTAAAAATGTATCATTTTTACCCTTTATGGTAGTTTCTTGTGGTCTTTTTTTTTTTAAATATTTGCTTACTTCAAAGTAATAAAGATATTACTTTACCTTTTATTATCTGGTATTTTGTTCTGATTGTTATTTTTGTCTATAAAAATGTGGAGCTGTTGCTAAGGCATATGCAATAGTTCATACCTAGAACATGTGACAGCTCTATGCTAAAGGAGAATTAGGCAGATTCCTTTTCCCTGTTGCTTCTGTCACCATATTCCTGTGGCTTGCCACTCACAAGAAGAAAAAACTTTTGGGTAGAAAAACTAGTTGGCTTCAAACCTACCTCTTTAGGAATACTCAAAGCCAGAAAATAACAGAACAATGTTTACAGAGTTTTAAGAAAAAGAAAATATAAAAATTAGGAATGTGACTCAGACAAGGTGCTCTGCAATTATAAAGGCAGCTGACATTTTTAAGTTTTGCAAATTTAGGCAATACAATCTTTCTGAGTTTTTCTTAAACAAAACAAACAAAAAAAGAGTGGAAAAAATACAAATGTCATAGAAAATGGCTACAAAATCTGGGCTAGAATGTGACAAATAAAAGATATTTACATTGTAAAAGTTTCCCACATACTTTCCTGATATTGATGGAACACATGTCTATGTATAAAGTATATAATAAAATGTTACATAAAAAGAGATGCTAAAAAATGTATCATTTAAATAAAATGAATTCAGTTAACATGATACTTTTGTCACCAACATGTATGATGTAATGCTATGTTAATGTCTGGATTATATATTTATCATACATCTTCACTGTCTAATCACAGAGCTGTCATTTGAACAATCGGCAGACCCTGTTCTGAAAGCATTGCAAGAAGTTCATGCAGGTATTGTCATAGGAACATCACTATGATGATCAGAGTGAGGAGAAATATTCTTTGTCGTAAGGCGAAAAGAGGGAGGAAAAAAGAAAGGGAAAAACTCTCTATAGGGAATATATAGCACATACATTTTGATAGTCCAGCTATTTCTATGCCTAGCTACCATCTCTGGGTAAATGATGAGGCAGCATGTTGTGATCCAGTTTGTCATGATGAACAGCCACAGGAATGATTTACTATATTCCGCTACAACATAACTTTAAATCCCCCTCCTCAAATATACATTTGAAAAATTACCCGTAATAGTTCCGCTGACGTTGGCCTTTCCTGAGGTATTTTCTGCAAGCAGTAATCAACAAATCTCCTAAAGGAGTCTGTCCTGTGTGTACAAATACATCAGAAGAAAATAAAATCAAGGTCTGTAGAACATACTGATTACTTTAAATACTTTCCATGTAAGGAAAATTTTTAGATTTTAGAGATTAGTAAAATATTTTGAAATATAAGGAGAATTGGACCATTTTCCAGTTTAGGGTGTCTAAAATTAATTCTTTAGGATAATGAATATGGACAGCTTCAAGTTAGTCAACACATAAACATACCTTAATATACAAGCAAGGTCAAATCATAATATATATCAGAAAATGAAAATACTATATTCACATATAATAATGTCTTACATGTATTTTTTTCTCCAAAGGTAACAACTCTCATAAGTCTCAAACCTAAATTCTTCAAAACCAGTTGTTAACTCCTCCATCATCCACAACCTATAACCAGGTAGTAAAATCTGAAGCATAAGAGACACGGAACCTAGGAACGTGGTTTGTGGATGAAAATACTTTCTCCCTTGAAAAATCCCACTTTGTCTACTCTTCTTTAAAATTGCTCTTTTCCTATAACTCTTGTGACCCTAATAGTTATCAAAATGTCATAATTTTTAGTAAGGTACAATACGTATTCTGAGGAGAAAGATATGTTCTGTCTTAACACATTTAAATACACATATAGTAAAGACAAAAAAAGACAACTAGGAAAATAATGATATCAGAGAGGGTACTTTATCTCTGCTGAGAAGTGGTAAGAGCTAAGATGATCAATATAAGACCCTCATGACTTAGATTACATTTGTCAGGAAGATGGCAGGGCATGTTCCCTGCAGGATTTCACTTACTACACACATTAAGAACACAGTACAAGCCACAGTAAGGGCAGAAAGAAATATAAATGTGTGTGTATGTGTAGCAGTTCATGGCTATAAAGCATCAATGTCACTTATTGTAACATACAATGAAGGAATGAAATGCTTTCAGATATTTAAAATATAATGTCATGAAAATGCCAAATATATATGGCGATTTTCTTAGAGATTTAAAATGATAGGAGAGTCTTACCATTCATTAGACTGTAATGTTGGGGAGTCATTCTGAGCAATGTGATATAAGGCACTCATTGCATTCATGTTGAAAAGGGGGGGCTTCCGTTCCGCTGAAAGAAAGGAAATATGGTAAAGTAGTCTTAAAAGAAATCAGTTAGAGAAATGAGCATCTATGAGCAAAGCTTTGCTGTTAAATCAATAGTTCATTATTGTCATCATGTCACATCATCCACTTATTTTAATCTCTAAGTGATAGAACAGTTATTCAGAAGATGCTGCCAGTCACCTTAATGTACATTGGCAAAGCTCCTAAAAGACCCATTTCAAGAGAGTGAGAGAAAAATTTCTTATTTTTTTCACCTATCTTTAAAAGGCTGGTCTTTGTCTGTCTTCCCATTACAGGTATGAACATCTTCATGTTTTGTGTTTTAATTAAAAAATATATGTTCATTGAAACAAATTCAGAAAGCACGACAAAGAATGAAAAAACAAAAGACTATTGTGGAATGGAACATCTTAAACCTAACATCATATGGGAGGTAATGTAATTCAATTCAGTAAACACTGATTGAAGGATCATCCAGGCCAAATAATGGCACAGGTAGGGGTAGAGTGGAAAAGGAAGATAAATAATAAGCAAGGCTTGGTTCATCTCTTTCTAAAGAGAAACTCAGTGAACCAGATATTTCTTAATAGAAAATTTATTCCATCCCAGCCCACCATGATCTCTTTTTTGGAATTTTTATAGTTCTCTTTTAGTATACTGCTTATTCAGCATGTGCTCTCCTGTTGTATTTACATAAGCATACAAATCTTTTGTCTCAAAAGAAATCATAAGCTCTAAGAGCAGGACCTTATAACCCTAATACTTATTCATTAATTTATTCCTCAAACATATATAATAAGATGCTATTCAGATATGAGGTGCTCTGTTTGTTGACCAGAGGAAAGAAATAAGGTTCTAGCTCTGAGTACACTTAATTTTATGCTATTTATTAGTTATTATGTCATAGAAGATAAATCACTATCTCATTCTGCCATGCTTATCCTAATATACTCTTTAGATAGTCCCACTTTATAATTCATAATCTGATCTCAGGTTCCATCAGAGCACCTTGGTTTTTAAGTAAAGATTCATCTATTTACCACTTTTAAAATGGTAAATTCTAAGAATCAGAACAAGAACAAAGGGCAGAAGTAGCAGGGAAGGCATTGTCATTCATAGAAGGAAGAACCCACAAAAAGCCAGAGTCATAAAACAAAACAAGACAAAGTGAAGTAAAACCCCCCCTAAAACCTAGAATGAACAACGCTGAGAATATAAAGAATTTAGTCACTGGCAGTGTTCCAGCAGAAGGCAGCTATAGTTACTCATCTGTGATACTTTGGAAGGGCTTCTCATAGTTGCAACTAAATTATCTCTGATGCCTTTGAAATATAACAGTCTATGATTCCACAGATATTTTTTATTAAGTTCTCAACAGTACATTTTACACTCATCAGGATATAATACTCACTCGTATTATAATACTAGTACAAATATGTACTAGTATTGTAGGGACATGAACTATTAACAAGTAGAAATTTGAAAGCCCCAGTGTGGACAAATGGATTTATATCTGTTTCAAATGTAGAAGAGGAAAAACTGGTTCAGGTTATTTTATTTATCAGGAGGTAGATTCTAGAAATTTTCTAGAGACTGGCCTTCTGACAACTTGAAGTTTTTGAAGTCATGTGGATCTAGGAACTCATCATGTAACCATCAGTGGCTTCCCATTATTAGGACAAAGTCCAGATCCTTAGACATAGCCTGTTGGCTTTTATTAACATGACTCTGGCTGCTCTAGCATTTCATTCTGAGAAGCAATGATTTCCTTCCCTCTCCTCCTGCCGTCTCTGGCTTCACTGAAAAGGACCAAGCTCAAAGCCTTTCACAAAGGCTGCTGTCTCTGTCTGGACTCTTCTCTCATTTTTGTTTCCTAAACTTTATCTGGTTAAATCTTGCCAGTCCTTTAGGTTTTACCTTAAATATAATTGTATTTCTGCATTAATTTAATACATATTTACCCAAGGCATATTATATGCTTACAATCACTTCCTCAGGGAAGCCTGCCTGACTTTTCAGACTACGTTGTCCCCCATTAGATTCTGGCATTGCAAATTACATTTTTCCTTTCTACCACCTTTCATGACCATAATTAATCATTTGTGTTAATTCTTTACATAATGCTGTGTCTTCTTTGCTAAACTTCATGAGGGCAGGGACAATGTCTATTATGTACATCCTTGCATTCCCACTGTTAAGCACAGCACCTGGTATATATCTTTAGTGGCCCCCAAACACCTATAAAATAAATAAATGACGGTAAGGCAAAGAAGAAACTTTGTCAACAAAGAATCCTTGTGCAGCAAGAAGTCACAAAAATACCTGAGCAGTGACAAAATCTTGGGGCTTACATCAGATACTATGTGATGGCTTCATTCACTATCAGAAGGCTACACTGCTCTCTAACTAGCAAAAGGTATAAAATTCAAGCAGCTCAGAAGAACACTGAACTGCAGAGGAGAAACAGCAGGGAAGGGGCACTAAAGAAAGAAGAAAACAGGAATTTAGAAGCAATAGATGGAGGAACAAAACCAACAACAAAACCCAATTCAATAATTATAAGAAAGGCAGTAGCTCAGATTTGAAGCCGGAATGGTAAGGCCTGTAAGTAGCAGACAGTATATTGTGAGCAAGACACGATGATTGCTGGCCACACAATGGTAGAACAGCTCTAGCAGAGAAGCGCATGACTAAAAGTATCCCAAACACAGCACAGTTCTGGGGTCTGAGAAGCATTCCCTTCATATTAATTTCAGGCGGCCTTACCTATGTTCAAGCCCTTGGCTAGATGTACTACATAAATCCTCTTGGCTATGGTGACAGCACTCACTGCTAAGTCAGCATAATATAGAGCAAGAGTTGGGAAACTATGGCCTGTGGGCCAAATTCAGCTAGGTCTCCCAATAGATTAGATTAGATGAGGATTACAGCCTCAACTGTCCATCAGCGTATTGTCTCTGGCTGCTTTTATGCTGTAAGAGCAGAGTTGAGAACTATGACAGGGATTGTCTGGACTGCAAAGCCTAAAACACTTATTACCTGGTCTTTTACAGAAAATTTGTCAGCCCTCACTGTGGAATATAATAGTCTGCATACAATTCTCCATGTAAGCAGCTGAATAGGAACTGGGTGTACTTTTGAAACCACCTTGTGACATATAATCGATATTTTCTCAAAAGAAAGGAAAAAGATGGAAGCATTAAAAAGCTGAATTAACTAAGCTAGAAGAAAAAAATAGTGATTTCTACCTAAGGACAATGATCAAGTTTTGCGGATGGCTCCATGTGTGTTATGTGAGCTCAAGGTTCAGGAAGGTCAGTTCAATGAAGCTTCTAGACACTAACTACTTTGCTTGGCAAGGATCATGCTAAATTAGAGCACCTAGACTGGGCTTTATTTTAATAAGGAAGATCCGAGAGTACTCCTGTCTTAAAATAAATACTTAATAAAAAGACAATAGATTTCTCATGAAGAAATGTGGCTGCAATCATAACAATGATAATAATAACTGCTACCATTTATTGAGTTCCTAACTACACGTCAGGCACTCACTACTTTAGATGTGTTTACATGTTATTTATAATTCTCACAATAGCTTGGCAAGAAAAGCATATTTATTCCAATTTCCCCAAAGAAGAAACTAAAGTTGAGTTGGCTTAAATAATAAAACAAAGTCACATAGTAAGTGACTAAATTTTCACTAGGCCTCAGTGCCTCTTCAATAACTCTGCATTTTATGCTAGGTAGTACTTATATTTCAAAAAAGAAAAGCAGCTTTAGAGGAGTAAACATACCTCCCTGTCCCCAGCAGCCATTTCAACATTCACTTATTAACAGATAAACAATGAGTGGCTAATATGCAAGAAGAAAATTTCAGGCAGAAAAATCACTTAATATTTATGTTTTTGTGGCTTTTTTTCTCTGGAGAATTTATTTCTGAACACTCACTGTCAACTCCATGACAATGTTAATGGACCATTTCCCAGCTTCTACCATGATCTTTGCTGTTGAACTAAGTGTCTATAGTTTAAACAAATGAGCACCAGATTAACTTCTTTTGAAATAGTCTTGAAAAATAAAATATCTGGTGAGTGGATAGTACAATGTCCAAGAGTTTTCACAGGATTCATGTATTTAATTAGGTTTTTCAGTGGAAGGTCAATTTAACAGAAAATTTGTGAAAAAGGCTTAACCACTTAGGAACCATGGAGCTTGATCCAGGGACGAGGTGGGGTGCTGGTAACAGTATCATCTTCTTCCTTAGTGACTTTACCTCAGCAATTCAAATTACGGATTAGGCAACTCTTTAAAAATATACACTAGTATAAAAGAGATATCATAAAAGAAATGTAACCACACATTATTCAGGCACTATCCGTAACTTTCAATGCAGTTTCAACATTAAAAGTAGAAGTTAAAGTATACTGTTTGTACCTGGAATTTCATTAAACTTCAAACATAGAGGAAACTTAGAAAAATCATTGCTTGGGGTTTAATATGCAGCAGTTTAATCTTTCATGTAAAAAAATACACTTCTTTTATATGTCCATTAATAAGACTAATGCTAAGGAGATAGAGATGTATGGTAAAGCTGTCAAAAAAGTATTTTTATGGTTTCTGACATTACCAATATAAGTTTTGAATAATTGCTGAGAAGTTAAATCTCCTTAGTAACTATTTTATGAACATTAACTGAGAATGTACAATCATCTTTCTCTGAATCTAAGATGCCAATGACTATAAAATGAACCACTATTTAAGATGCATCACTATTTCATGTACAATTTAGGACAAAATGCTACCAATTATAATTATAAAATGCTGTTGCTTATAAAAAAATGAAAGATATGTTAAAGTTAAGTAAAAAATTTGGATGAATATGATATATACCAGGACTGTGTTGATAATGGCTAACATTTATTGAGCACATAGCATATAACCATTACAATAATAAACACTTAAAATCCATATTTTCATTTAATCCAGGCAATCCTTACAAGGTAGAGGATCTTATTTTACAAAGTTCATGGAGAGTTAAGCTAATTTGACCTAAGTCAGACAACTAAGAAATGGCAGAGTTGAAATTAGAATTCAAGTTTATCTGACTACAGAGTCTAATAATCTTAACTTCAATCCAATACTATAACCCATCAATTTGAAGGAATTGCTGTTGTGGAGGAGGAAGAGACAATTTGGGAGACAGCTACTTTGTTTTTAATTCGGTAAATCATTTTATAGGAGTCAAAGTTATGCTGATATACAGAACATGTTATACATACTTTAATTCCTTTTTATAGAAAGATAAAATCAGAAAGTAAATACATACCAGGGCCTCTCTCAAGAGAAGTACTAAAGTATCTCCTGGGATCTGTATCTATTTCACCCACTGTTCATTGCTGTTGAAAACTTCAGTCATTACTACATATACACAGTACAAAAAATGATGTGGTGGTGATCTTGAATCACCATTAAAGGGCAAAGTTGTTTTCTCTTTTTGAGAGGGTTGGAAAGGGTAGAATCCACATTATATTTAGGAAGATTTTATGAAGAAAAAAACTTGTTAAAAACAATAGGTGGGCAACAATTACCTGTAAAGATCACTTCAGCTGGTACATCCTCTTAAAGTGCCATAACTAAGGAGTTGCTGCTATGGTTTCAGTGTTATAAGTAAAATTTTGGTTCATTTTAGAGTATAAATGAAAAAATAGGAATAATGTACATATGCATGCAATTAGCTGTTACGGAGCATTTGTTAAATGACAGGCACCATGTTAAGCATTCTACATACATATCTTACTGAAGTCTGACAATACCCATGGTATTTGTATTGCTATTTTCACTTAGATGAGAAAATTGAGGCTTAGGGAGGTTAAGAAAATTGTGCAAGGTCCATAGTCAGAAAGAACAGCTACACAACCCCAGAAGGTATCATTCACATCCTAGACTGTATGAATGCCTGTTGGCATTATGTGCAGCTATACATGATAGTCCTGCCAGCTAAGTGTTGGTAAAGCCAAGATTCAATTCCAGGGTGTCTAATTCTAACGCTTATTCTATACTGTTAACTCTATGTTATGGAGAGAGTACTTTTATTTTATTTTTTTAACCCAAGGAATGTATATTTATTTTCATTTGTAAAAAGTTAACTTCTTCAATATTTCAAACATGTAAAAATCTGTGGAATATAACGATACCTACCACTTAGATTTATCATTATTTTGTCATATTTGTTTCAGATCTTTTTCTCCTAAAAAAATAAGAAAGTAGATATAACTATTCCTCTTTCTCCAACTAGTTTTCTCTTCTGAAATTATGTTTTACATCTCTGTTCTATGTTGTGTTGGATAAGTTTGTGTATGTGTATGTGTACATATGTGTATACACACATACACTATATTCATAAATCAGTATTATACACTCATAAATAATATAAGTGTTTATTAAACTGTCATAATTGTCATAATGCTGCATCGATACTTTTCCTACTTTTTTCATGAAATATTCAATGTAATGATTTTTGAGACTTATCCATGATGATACATGCAGATCCAGTTTATTCTTAACTGTGATACAGTACTCCATAATTAATGTATCCATTTTCTTTTGGATAAGAAGCCTCTTCTGGCTTCTGCAAATAAGGTTGTATCCTTGCACATATTTTGCAGGGTGTAAGCATAAAGATTTCTCTAAGTGAAATGTTAGGTCACTGAGACTGTTTCTCAACTACTTTAATAGATGTTGCCAATTCGCACTCCAAAGTGGTCATACCAAACTACCTTCCTACCAACAGTGTGTAAGAATTCCTGTTTCCTTAGCAGCTTCCCCAAATGTATTATCCTCAGACTTAAAACTTTTGCCAGTCTGAGAAATGTGAAATGGTTTTAACTTGCATTTCCCTGATTACTAATGAGGCTAAGCTTCTTTTAATTTTTGATGTCCCTTTAGGCTTCCTTTTCAGTGAATTGTTGTTCATATTCCTTGCCCATTTTTCTACTGACTATTTGTCTTTTTATTTTTGATAAAGAAATTATAAGAGTTCTTTATGAATTCTGGACCAATATTGTTAGTTAGATATGTTTCGACTGTTTCATATTAGTCTAGGGCTTGCCTTTTTTGTATTTTATACAGCTGTATATCTTAAAGTAGTAAAAGTTACTGTATTTGTCATTTTTAAAAATATTGTTTAGAAAAAATTTTCCCTATACTCATAAAGGTATACTCCTAAAGTTATAATAATACCAATAATTATACTTAAAGTGCTTATTATATGCCAGGCCATGTTTTAAGTACTTTAAATATATTTATTAATTAATCTCTACAGTAATAGCACTGACTTCATAGAATTGTTATCTCCATCACAGATGAGGAAACTGAGGCATAAGGAGGCTTCTCCTGAAAGGTTTTGAAAGTTTTACTTTTTACTTTTGGGTATTTAACAAATCTCAAATTATTTTTGTGTATAACATAAGCTAAGAATCTAATTTTAGTTTTCATCATATAATTAATAAATTGCCTCATATTACTTATCAAATAGGCCATCCTTTCCCCACTGACTGGTAATGCCTTTTCTGTTTTATACCCAAATCCAACTTATACTTGAGCCTGTTTCTAGGTTGTCTAGTCTGTTCTATTGGAAATTAGTCTCTCCCTGCATCAATACCATATGGATTTATTATGGTATAAATTTTGATACAGTGAATCTTCTATCCAAATTCTATTTCCTCAAAGTTGTCTTAACTAGTTTTGGCCCTACAAATTTTAGGACTCCCTAATCAAGTTCTAGTTAGCATTGCTGGAAGTTCACCCTAAGTCCTTTTAAAAATATGCAAGTATTTCTGTTGAGAGTTCCCCAAAACCAGTGTGAATAAATTAGATGAATCTCCTTTGCAGTGAAAGACACAGGATTAGAACCTAAAAAAGAAATCTACCACTCCAATGTTCATTAATAGAAGACCAGTCAAATAAATTACGGTGCACTCATTTAATGGAATAACATGATGTCAGTAAAAAGATGAAAAAGATGTCTAACTTACTAATATAAAACAGATCTCCAAGATGTTGGTAAGTGAAAAATCAAAGGACAGAACCACTTGTATATGTTAACTTGTATGTGAAAAGGAATATAGTAAGTGTACATTCATATTTGTTTGTATATCTGTAAAGAAACTCTGGAAAAATATATAAGAAATTAATAACAGTGGTTCCCTCTGTGTGTTGGCAAAGGTGAAGAAGGAAATGGGTGAATAGGGCCAGGGGCTGAAGAAGTCCTTCTGCTGCATGTCATTTTATATATTTTTATTTATAAACCATATAAATGTTACTTATTTTAAAATATTAAGTGAATATTCTAACATTTCTCCCTGAATTCTGTTTTTGAAATTAGTATCTTTTGAAAGAAAAAAAAAAGAAGTAGAAGGCAAATAGTGTAGCTTTATCATGTTTTTCTTTGTTGGAAGGAGTCAACGAAGCCATTGAAAATGTAATACAGAGTATCCCAAGTTGTCTTTGTAGGTCAAACATTCTGGGAAAACAATAACTATACTAAGAACCAAACTGGAACTCAGAAATTCTTACAGGATCAATTTGGATTCCAGGATAATAAGTTAAAAATATTAAAATCTAAATTTTAAAACAGACAAAGAAACCTTAAAAAATGATTTTAAAAAAATTAAACATACTTACATAACTTTTAAATTAAAAAAATCTAGGCAAAGGCCATGTAATGCAGGAGCCAGCTTATGCTGGCTTTGGAAGGTCAACTGCATACCTTTCTCCAACTCCACATTTAATCAGTTAATCAAACGGGTAGCTTGATACAGCTCATGGTGGGACTATCACGCCACTGAAACTGACAAGTGATACAAAGTAGGGCTTTTTGTGTCCTCCACCCCCGCAGGAGAGTCATTAAATTTACAAGTATACCACCGGATAAAGCTAACTAAGATATATTAAAGTTCAAATATATAACCAGAGAATTGAGATTCTGTGGTATGTTAAATAATTTTAGGTAACTGCAAAAATATTTGGAGTACAACTTTAAAGCTGGGGGTATATTCTAATATGAAGTGTTCTCCGGGGTTTCTCTCTAAGTGGGTCAAATGACAGTTCTGAGGGTCAGATTTCTGATAAACCTGCTCTTATTTTTTCAGGTTTCCCTTATACAAGTTGGGATGTAAATTAAGTAACAAGATACTACTATGAAGGAGTGATATACATTATCACTCGTGGTATGGAGAATGGATATTTTAAAATATTAATACTTACTATCATGTATTCCCAATAGTTGTTAATTGCCATATCTACTCAAAAAGTCTTATACTTAACAAGAAAATATAGCAGAAAGAAAGCAATCTTCTGCTTAGAAAAAATATAATAATTCACATTGCTTGCACACATATAGCAGTAATTCATTTCATAATAGCTGGATAAATGAATTAACAATCATAACAAGGGGTGATTCTCAAAGGTACAATGAAAGTGACACTCTGCTCACCCAATTCAATACAGGTGATTCCAAGTGACCAAATATCAACTTTCCCATCATACTGTCCTTCGTCCATAGCTAAGATCACCTCTGGAGCCATCCTGCCAAATGTAATATGCAAAACTCAAGTTGTAAATTAAAAACGAAATTCACCTAATAAAGTGATTCAATGAAATAGCTGTTTTGCAGAATATTCTAAAACTTAACTGACAAAGATATTATTTCCTTACACAAATCATTTGTGAAAATAGTTCAAAATATAAACAACATACTCAGTGATTAACGAGAAACAATACATTATTTTCAATAATCCACGATTTACTATCAGTTTGATCTTGGCTAAGTTCCTTAACCTTTCTGTGTATCAGTTTCTTTAGCTGTAACATGGAAAGAATTCTTGCTGGTACCTCAGAGAGATTTGTAAAAAATTAACATGTATGAAACACTGAAACGAATTACTTTAAATAACATGGAACATAATTTATAGTACTATATAAAGCAATAGAATCAGATATTTCAAAGATATTGCAACTTAAAAAACAAACAGGTTATAGTAATAGATATTATTTTGTTGTCCATAATGAATTTTCATTAGGAGGGCAGGGCCTATATCAGTGTAATATGCTTTGTTCTCTATTAGTGTCTAAATGGTTGCTTAATAAATGCTATTTGATGATGATGAACGAAAAAAATCAAATACTAGCTGATTTTTTTGGTAGGTAAGTAATTTCAGGGATATAAGTCATTCTCCAAGGTACAATGAAATTCCAATGTACCTATAAAAGGAAGGAAAGAAAACTATGCCAGAATGACAAGTGAACCAAGGTAGCAGAGGTCCCAACAAAAACAAGAACCTGTATTTCTTTCACTGATAGGTAATATTTATGCTGGTTGGCTAGTTAGAGAAAGTTAAAGAGACTATCTCTTCCTTGCTTAAAGACTCTGCCTCAAGAGAAAAGTTCAAAAACTTCAAATGAAATCTAAAACCTGCGCTTGGTTCAGTGAGTTGATAATCCTGCTCAGTTTACACACAGTGACATCAATCTTATTTAGACAATTTAAAGTCACTGGAAATTTTATACGAAGTCAGTGTTTCTTTTCTGCTAGTGAGCTCTCTGTCCATCTTTAGTGAAATATCATTTGAGGTATAGTGAGACTTTGTCAGAAAACCAAACCAAACCCCATGCTATGAGTCCCCATCTTTTTGGTGTATGCGTATTTTAAAACTATGTCATGTTTTCTCATTCTACATACCAGTAAGGTGTGCCCACGAAGGAGTTGGCTGGAGAAGCCATTGAGGCAGATCCAAAATCAGCTAGTTTCACCTGACCTGGCTCAGTTAGAAGAATATTTCCTGCTTTAATATCCCTATAGGAAAAAAATCAGAGGTTAGAAAATTACTTTTCAATTCTGATTATCTAATAGGTCAGGGCATGCAATTAATAACACAAAAAGTTTATTAAGAAAAACCTTGCTCAGATAGCCAGAAGGGGATTTAATAATTACTGCATGTTGTAAGGGGGCCCAGATTCCTGGGTGTACATACAGGTAGGTCATAGTAATTACTAAAAGGAAGAGCTTTCTTCAGAGGGAGGGAATGCAATGAGAAAAAAGGCAGACATGGCAGACAAGGAAACTATTCAGTTGCTACACTTACAAAGCATATTCTTAGATGCTAAATCTAGTCACCAATAGTATTCCTTGTGCTGAGAAAATTGACACCATTTGTAACTGCCTTGTTTCTCTTCCAAATTACATTACATTTTTGGAGTCTAAACAAACCTTCAAGGATTCAATGACTCTGTATTATCTACCTGCCAATACACCTCAGCTACACACATACCTTTTCTTTCTTGCCTGTGACCCTTTCTCTCTGCCTTTAATTGTAACTGCAACTCTAAGGCATTTGAGGGTACATGTTATATAGAAGGTGTTATTTTAAAAATAACACTGTACAGTAAAAAGAAGACCCTGAAAGATCAAAACAAACAAGGATTAGGGGTTAGGAAATTGCATTTTTATTGTATTACTACAAAGAATTTCAAGTGGAAACAACTAAAGCTATTATATGTTTTATGCATCAAAAAATTTAATATGATTTTAAAAAATTCATTCTTAAGTATGATAATTTAGATGAGATGTAGATGTACTCCTATTTTCTTTTAAAAAGGTATGAAGTGTAATGAGTATTAGGAACCAAGAATTTTAAGTTGATGGGCAGTGGAAAAATAAAGCAGAGAGAATGAGGAAAATTTCTGTCAAGTTGAAAATGATAAAGCTCAAATGCTTCCCCAAACAGTAATTTCCAAAAGTCTTCCCTTGAAAATTCAGTTTCTTTCCTCATGATGACATTAGGCATTTGCAGAGAGAACTAAAAAAAGCATTGTTTATTTCTCTTACAACAGAAAAATACCTTTTATCTATTATCTTCAGTTAGAACATGGTTTCGCTTTTTAAACCAAAATAATAAAAATCTGAGACATGGCATTTATTCTAAAATAAAGAATATTCTTTAAAATATATTTCTAACTTCTTTTACATATTAAGATCAAGTATAATATAGAACAAAATATTAAATTACTGTACAGATTTGTGAAACAAAGGCATAAAAAACTGAACTGTGGCTTTAAATAAGAGCAGGCAAGTCATGATAAACAAGTTGGCATTCAGTAATGACATCTTGGTACCAAAGGGATATATTTTTCAAAAACGTCAAATCCATACACATTATGGTTAGATTTATCTTATCAACATTTATTAGTCATGGTTAGGTTCATTCTTTGTTCTCACAAACAAACCAAATTCACAGCAGGAATTTTGGGGTCTGTCTATCTTGAGGAAGTTCTGCTTTTGTGGTACCAGTAAACTGGTGATGTCTACTCTAGGGTGATTAAAACAGAAGGAGCACAAGGGGAACCTATGACCTAATAGTTTCATTTCTTCTTAGTAAATGTCAGTATTTTCTTTTGTTTTTCAGCTATCAAAGATCCCTTATACCTGCCTTATATCCCACTACTTCTGCCACCATTCATTAAAATAACTGTACTAGAAGTTCTTTACTGAGAGAAGGAAAGATTAATAATAACATCTTTGCCTAGGAGAAATTAGTGGTGGAGAGTAGGTTGTAAAGAGGAGAGTGAGGTTGTGGTTGAGAAAATATAAGGTAGAGGAAAGCCTTGGAGTACATGGTGGGAAATTTTAATTTCATCTTTATTATATAAAAGCTGTGAAACCATGGAAAATTTATTTAAATCTTTCTGAGTGCCAGTTTCTTCATCTGCCAAAATAAAGACAATACCTTCCTAAATATCTATATGGACTATAGAAATACAAAACATTTTATAAGCCAGGTGAAAAAAGACAAGTATCAAATGATTTCACTCATCTGTGGAGTATAAGAACAAAGAGAAAACTGAAGGAGCAAAACAGCAGAAGACTCACAGAACCCAAGAATGGACTAACAGTTACCAAAGGGAAAGGGTCTGGGGAGGAGGGGTGGGAAGGGAGGGATAATGGAGGCGGGGGAGAAAGGGGGCATTATGATTAGCATGTATAATATTTGGGGGGGCCCAGGGAGGGCTATACAACACAGAGAAGACAAGTAGTGATTCTACAGCATCTTACTATGTTGATGGACAGTGACTGTAATGGGGTATGTGGGAGGAACTTGGTGATGGGAGGAGTCTAGTAAACATAATGTTCCTCATGTAATTGTAGATTAATAAAAAAAAAGAAATACAAACATTTAAAAGTGATAAAACAGTATATATTTCTATAACACTGACTTGTTACTTGTATAGGAAAGGGAGGAGAAATTCAGGGGAGATAAATACATGCAAGGCAGGCTAATTTTCTTTTCTCTTCTTGGCACAGTATCAAAGGTTGCTAGGCCCTTGCTCAGATTTTCCTGCAAAACCTTGCCTGGTGAATAGTTACCTATGGAACAGAAGTGACGTAAGACTGTATATTTGGAAGAGACCAAGAGACAGGAGCGAAATTCTGGCTTTACTCCCTACATCCAGAAGCAGCAGCAATCTTTTGCTTTCTATAAATCCTCAGGCACCCTAAAAATTGGAGCATGCACTGATTTTCAAGGCACCTTGAATAGATAGTTCTGTAACTGAAATGAAAATGTAACTGGCTTCTAATCTTACCTATGAATCAATGCATGAGAATGCAGGTAGGCTAGGCCCTGCAAAGCACCGTGAGTGATGGCCGCGATCTCCACTTCTTGAAGTGGTTTCTTATGAACTGAGGAAGGAAAAAATAATTCGTGAGTAGATGATCAGTTTTATTTCCTCTCTTTATTATCTTATACAGCTATACCAGACTGAATTATAAACTTCTTCAAATGACAATTTGGGAACACATTCCCCTAAATAGACAGGATATAGATTTTCTTTAGAACAGCAATCAATGTCCAGATAATAGGAAACCCAAGCATAAAAACAAACAAAAAAACTCCTCAAAACAAAATAAAACAAGTAAAGCCTAATATTCATTGTAATGAACTGATTTACTTGTCAGTTGCAAGTCAAAGCCACACTGATTCCAATCAGCCAGGTCCCTTCCGAAGTTTTAAATGCCTAGAGTGTTTTAGGTTGCATTATTCTCTTCTGCCACAAAGCCATCTATAATTACCTCTTCTAACTACAGGTTTTCATTATTTGTGAAAGCAGCTAATAAGCAATTTCTATTCAGAGATCAAGGATGATATAAGAAAGTTTTTTTAACTCTAAAATTTTAACATAGCCTCTGGCTATAACACATTCGCAGAAGAGAACTAGGTCAATCAAGGTATTTGAAAGGCTTAAATTCAATATAACATATATGAATTTGATGTTTTTGGCTGCACATATTATATCATATTAGCCAAACATTTTAGTAGTACCTGCCCTGGGTGGGCCAGGAAAGAAAACAGCAGGAGAGCTACTAATCCTTACAGAGATCCTTTCATTGACTGCGGAGAGAAAGTTTGCGTAGCTTATCCGCACAATTCCTAAGTCTAAGTCATCATCCATTTAGTTTGTCCAAACTGCACTTTAGTAAAGGAGTAGATGATATTTGGGTCAAGGTAAAAGAGAAAGGGAGGGATAGTGCTCTATTCTTACCTTCTAACAAATCGGATGCTGATCCTAAGCAATATTCCATCACCAACTGTAAAAGATTAAAATAATGACCAGAATAATGAAGGTTAATAAGAAACTGCTAAAATCGACAAACTAACCAAGGAACTAAGAACATTAGAATAAATATTCTGACCTTCCTGAACCTGGATTAAATTTTGGTTATCTGGCAATAATTGATTTTTATAACATTTGTCATCTGTTTTTGTTGTTTTCTAGTTGGAATTGGAATTGGTCTAAGACTATAAAGGGACTGGATATGGAAATAGTTACTGTAAATAGTCAAACTGATATTGCCAATTTATTTATTTATAAATATCCATGCCACCTTGTTTCAAAAGGATTTAAGCATCT